AATAGCTTTCACCCTTTTCTAATTCGCCCTTCTTTCTAAATAAAAAATAGGGATTTTACTCTAAACCCAAAGTATTAACCTCATTTATTTGTAAACCCGATTACTTGTTCATATATTTATTCACTAAGAGAACTTTCTCATTTTATCTTTAAACGCAAAAAAATTAATACATATTATAATAATTACAAAATAAAAATAAAAATCCTAAAATGCCCTTGTCTACTTCCTCGTCTCTCTTTACCCATAACCTACATTCTTCTCTTTCTTCTTACTCTCTCTACTTCTTTGATTGGACCTCTCTCCACTGCTCTCCTCCTCCTCCATCTCCTCATCCTGCTCCTCCCCAACCCTCCACCTCTTTCACTTGCTTATCATTAGGTTACATGCTAGATTAACGGCTTAAGTTGCTACACTTACACTTTTAAATTATTATACTTTCAATACAAGTTGCTAACTTACAACTTAAGTTGTTATACTTGTGGGTGTTTCATTTTAACAAGAAGTGGAGAAGAAACTTTATTAGGAGAAAGTGATGACGTAAGTCGATGGTGATAGGTTGTAGGAGGAGAGGTACTCATGTAGAGAAAGAAGTGACGCTATTGAGGTGATCATTATATTTTACTGTACTTTTATACTCTCATTATCTATCTTATTTTGAATAAAATATTTACTAATAAATAGTTTTATCTTAATTTGTAAGAAACAAAAGATTAAGAAATAAGAGCCTAAGCCCAAGATCAAGACAAAAGAAGCCCATGTAAGCCCACATAAAAGAGCCCAAGAACTTCAGCCAAAAGAAGGCGAATCGAAGAAGCATCGACGGGAATATCGATACCCAGTAAATAGTTTGAACCAAAGGCTGAAATTTTGTAGCTTGAGGATTATATTTGATCTAGAGGTTAATATTAATTAAAATACTCTATAAATAGGGATAGAGAGTGAGGGTTTGATGTTAAATTTTTTCGTAAAAACTCAATTTAGAGAGGAGGGTTACTCTTATTGAGAAGACCTTCCAAAATTATAAAATTTATTTACAATTAATAAAAAATTCCTCACCTTTTAAATTTTCTTTTCTTCTTCTTTGTTAATGAAAATGAAAATGAAGATTTGTTTTTTGGGGGCTAACTCCTTGCAATGTAAGTTTTTATTTTTCTTTTTTATTTTCTTATTTTTAAAATTAATGTTTTAGGATTTTATTTTCTCTTTATTTTTATGTTGGTAGATTAGATTTATTTCATATCTTGTAGTTTAGATTTACTTTAATGCTCTTTTATTTTTGTTGTTCATTTCTTATACTTTGTAGGATATATTTTTTTGCAATTTTCTTTTATAGTATAGATTTACTTTTATGTCCTTCTATTTTGTTAGCTAGATTTCCTTTATGCTCATAGTTTAGATCTTTATTTCCTTTTTTCTCATTTTTTTAGTTAGTTTATTTTTCTTTTATGCTTTTTAGTCTAGATTTTATTTCCTTGTTTTTATTTTCTAAAATGTGTTACTAAATCTTGTAATAAATTCTAAAATTATATAAAACTAGTTAGTATCTCTTATGATTTGTTGACTGCTTTCTTTCTCCTTAAAATGATCATGTTTAGTAAGCTAAAGTAAAATGTGATAAAAAGAGAGTGGTTCATAAATCCTAAATAAAAGTAACTAATAGATTCAATTCTAGATTCATATCTTATTTATTTAATTTCCTCCTTATTTTACTTGTTTTGATTTTCTTCTTTTTGATTAATTTTTCTAGTCTTAATTTTGTAATTTTCTATTTTCTTTATTTCTTCTCCTTGTTTATTCTTTGTTTTCTTTTATTTATTCACTCTCTTCCTTCCCTCTTGTTTCTAGTTTTCTGTTATTTGTAAATAATTATGCTCTCTATATCTCATCACTTTCACTCCACTTCGTCCAAACACATTTCATGGGACATTTTTAGGATTTTCTTACATACACCTTCCTCGTGGGTTCGACATTGTAGTGCACTATAACTTAGTCGTGCACTTACAACTTGACACTATTTTCATAACACATCAACAGGAGAGGGAGGAGAAAATGTAGCGGAGAGGATATGGAGGGAGGCCCAACTAAAGAGGTGGAGAAAGTAAGAAGAGAGAGAAGAACAAGAAATAGGTAAAGAGGGAGAAGGAAGAATGACAAGGGTATTTTGAGGTATTCTTATTTTTATTTTGTAAATAATATATACAAAGAATATGTAATTAATTTTTTGGGCTTAAAGATAAAACGAGAAAGTTATTTGGGTGTGTGGATGTAGATGGAATTAAGTGGGTTCAAAGACATAAGAGGGTAGACCTTTGGGTTTAAAGGAGGGAAAAACTAAAGAAGTGAAATGTATGGGTGGCTTTTATTAATTAGTTGTCGTTGTTCGAACTATCGTAAGACCATCTCCAACCGGCCTCTATATCTCCAAAATCTTCAAATTTGGAGAGTGGAACCTCTCCAACCACTCTCCAAATTTGGAGATCTTCAAATTTGACCATCCAAATTTGGAGGGTGAGGAGAAAAAATGGAGGGTCTCTCCATAATACTATTCATAGTTTATTAATTATAATTTTATCATTTTTAACTATTTGATTTCTTAAAAATTACCACTTTGCCATCCTTCTTAGTAATTTAAATTAGATGTTTAAATTAGATGTTGTATTAGAGGTTAATATTTGCTTTCTTGTTCTATCGATGTATGCTTTTACTGTTATTTCAGAATTTCTTCTTTTTTAATATGTTGTATTGCAGTATTAATATTGGGTTCATTTTAAAGCTCTCATCGACACCTTTATAATGTTATAAATTTTTTTTCCAAATAAATTATTAACAATAAAATTATTAACATAAACTATATCCAATATTATTTAATTATATGGATTTTTGTTAAAAAAATAAAAAGAAAAACATTTGGAGAGTGTGGGTTGGAGCAACCCTCTAAATTTTATCTTCCAAATTAAAATATTCTAGGAATATTCTAATTTGAAGGATGAAATTTAGGGGCTATTTGGTTCATTTCCAAAAAATTATGGAAATGGATTCCCACATAAGAAACCTATTCTGTAAAAATTTTAGGATATCAAAGGAATCCAAAACTTTTGTTTGATATGGAAGGATAAAATAAATAATAGGAAATGGTATCCAAAACTGCTGTTTGTTTCACCCTAAAAAAAAATCGGAAAAGCACCATGAGAGAAAAGCACCATGAGGAAAAGCACCATGAGAAGCTGAGTTGGCCCTTTCATTTCCAAAAAATTGCTCATTTCCGAGCTTTTAGATAGGATTTCGCCGTTCCAAAAAAAACACTATTTGACAAGGTTTTGGGAAACCATTTCTCAAAAAAAAAAAAATGAAACAAACGCAGTTTTTGGATTTCTTGAAGAAATTATAGAAACTCAGAAGAATCAGTCAAACCAGGCGGCGGTCGACCGGTCCGGTCG